ATGTCAATCTTGCAAGAATAGAGGGAATTTAAGAAATGTTACTAGAGCCCTTGTAGGGTGAGGTTGGATAGCCTCTGTAAACAGAAACCATTGAGAATTAATATTCTGAAAAGTTCAGAGAGATAGATGAGTGGGATGCAGTCATTTGATTTACCTGAGACAAAAAAAAAATGGAACTGGATGAGAAGGCAGTCGAATGAGTTGGAACAAAAACATAACAAATAATGTCAGGAGTTTTTCGAAAGAAAGTAAAGATTCCCCTTTCTTTCAGACAATATGTTACACATATGGCAAGTTTCTTAGCTTGATAAACATCTACAAGTCAATAACGTTGAGACAGATGGTAGTTTCACGACTCAGCTTATTAATTTCCATGCCATTAGATAGAATAATACACAATCCACATCATCATCTCGATTTCTGTTTTTGGAAATCACCAGAAGGAATTGGGCTGAGTGACAGAGTAGAGAAGCACACCTCTCCGTTGCCCTTGGTAACTAATGACTCTGCTGTGATTAAAAAAAAATGATGGTGAAGTTCTTGGGATCGTAGAACTGGAGACAGAGCTATAGAGGGCATCTCCTGGTTATGAATGGGAGCCACACAGAAGTTGAATTAAGAATGATGATCTAGTACATAAGAATTTCTATGTTCACAGAAATATCAAATACAAGCCTGCTCAAGTGTCGGAAGAATTAAACAAAAGGGAGAAGAAACCTACAAAGGCGATGCAGAGAATGCAGGGTTATGTTATTGGAAATTTACATGAAGTTGGCATGCAACCATTTTAAGGGTTTCACCACCAGAAGATAAATATCCATTAAAATGATGACAATCCTTTTGAAGACAGATAACCAACTGGTTTTCATTTCTCGTGCCCAGAGATGTGGCCCTGCATCCTCTGCTTTCCAGTAGATGTCAGTATCTCCCCTGACACATCCAAGGCCTGACCTGTGACTTTCCTAACAGTGGTGCAAGGCCTACAAGAGAAAACTGAATCCAACAGCCAAAACTGTCATGCCATTTCCCCAGTAATTTCCTTTCTACATGTCAGACAAACAAACACATTTAAATTCTCCTGGAACACAGGTTTGGAAGGTAGATTAATACTTTGAGGTGGGCTTTAAACCTCAGTTAGTACGTCTTGGAACAGATAATTCCTTGCTGTGGTGGGCTTTTCTGTGAATGACCCTTGACCTCTATCCACTAGAAGCCAATAGTCTTCCACCATTCCCACTTGCAATTTATAGCCAACAGGAATGTCTCCACACATTGTCAAATGTCCCTGGGGGCCACAATCATCCCGGTTGAAAACCAATGCTCTAGATAAAACAGGCAACCCGTTTGTTTTGGATTTGGGCATCTGTGACACATTGCTTTTGTAGTTGATGGAAGATGTAGATAGAAAGTGTAGAATGCACGATTAAGATTTCTTCTATAAAAGCAAGAAACACAACAGCAAACTCCAGTGTAATTGCTGCCATCAGAATATCATAATTTCCGCTCACAAACACATTCATTCATATGGATTGCCTCATTTAATCCCCATTACACTGTGAAAAATACATAATCTCTAATTTATGGATCAACTCCTAGTGTGGCACTGCAGGATCAGCACTGGACTGTGAACTGGAAGGTCAGTGGTTCAAATCCACCAGCCATTCCTTGGAAACCCTACTATACAGGGTCTCTAAGAGTTGGAACTGACTTGATGGCACTTAACAACAAGTTTATGGATTAGCAAACTAGGTCTTGGAGTCGTTAAGTGATTTGTCCAAGACCAAACAGCTAAAGCAAGATCAAGACCAGAATCAAACCAAGGCCTCCACAAATTGTCTCTGATGGGACATGAGGTAGACTCTACAGTCACAGAAGTCAGAAGTCACTGCGATGTAGCATCAGCCACAGTAAAGCTCAGAGTTGAAACATGAGATATTTGATTAGTGGGGGGAAGAGGAAACGGTTTTGGGAGGGAGATATCCAGACTTGCACCTGCTCCAGGCTTTCACCATGGGCGAGACCCAAGCTGGGTGGTGGGTGATTCTTCACAGACTAATACCTGATTGTTTCAAACTTCAAACTTGTGCCTGCTGCTACACATTTTGGAGAAGCTGCTCAAACAATGTGGTGCTCAGAGAAAAATGCTTTCACTCATATTTACTTCTAACATTATCCTTCACATTGTTTTATTTCTGGGTGTTTCATAATAAAGAAGCTGTCATTCTAGCAACGGAGGTACAAAGACATGATTGTATACGCATGAGGGGGATTCCCAAGTTCATAGAAAAAATGGAAATAAAAGAGAATGAAATTTTCGCACAAACTTTCTGAAGCCCCTTGTATATGTGTATGTAAAATCATGTTGGCTGTTTTTGCACAATTTTTATTTAACTGATGGGATACACATCTAACCAAAATATGTGAAAGCAAACTTTTTGTAAACCCCTCATGTATTCTCCCAGAGCAGAGAGCTTACTATTTTTCCTGTTGAGCAACTGCTAGGCTTGAACCGTCAATCTTACGGTTAGTAGCCCAAGTGCAAGTCACTGTACCACCCAGGCTCCACATATGCATTTTGTGGTTTGTTTGTTGTTGTTGTTGTTGTGTGGCATTGAGCCAGTTCCAACTCTCTCTCTCTCTGTCTCTCTCTCTCTCTATATATATAGTTGTTGTCAAGTGCTGTCGAGATGTTTCCTACTCATAGAGACCATGTCTAGGGTTTCCAAGGAATGGCTAGTAGGTTTGAACTTCCAACCTTGTGCTTAGCAGTGCAGTGGTTATTCTACAGCGCCACACCGGGACTCTCTCTCTCTATGTATATATGTATATGTATGTGTGTGTGT